GTGTCCCCCACAGTTATGAGTCAGGTTGCCCGAGAGAAAGCATAGGCGAACACATAGGGAATAAATAAGTGGATTCCACAGCATCATCATTTCTGCTATAAGATATTTCCAGTGGGTCAAGTGACCTCAGATTGTCAAAACTTCACCCTTGGGAAATTATATGGAATTTGATCATAATCCATAAAAGTTTAGTATTTTTATTTTTTACCAATACATGTTGTGGTACACAATGATTACATTCATTGTGATGAGTTGGTACATGTACATAGCATGGCTTAATTCTTTTTTGCCCCCTCCCCTTCTCTCTCCAGCTGGTCCCCTCTCCCCAACTTTTGTGCCTCTTCCCTTTGGCAAAAGTGCTGACAGATATAAAGAGCTCATTAAACAGCCCATTTGCTTAAGACTGCAGATTCCTGGGGCCCAACCAGAACTACTTCATCAAAGTCCATGAGTAAGGGGATCAGAAGTTCTTGCAAGCAACATAAGTGATATTATACACAGGACAACCTGAGAAGCACAGACTTACTTTTATTGAGAAATACTACATCCTATCTATAAGCTTGAGAGTTCAAACACAGTCTGATTTAATCCTTACAATTACCCTCAGAGGCATGTATTAGCCTTCTCATTTTGTAGTAAAGGAAACTGTCATAAACAGAGGTCACACCTCCAAGAAGGCCACCAAGCTGGGATTCATCCCAGGTACTTAACTCTCAAACCACTGCTCCTGCACAATGAGTTCAGTGAGAGCTCCCAGTAGAGCTGTCTCAATTTCCATCTTACTTCATTTAAATTTTGATGCTTGAGAGGAAATCTGGCTCCACTTGGCGGATGCAGCTATTCCCACCTATCAGTACAAGGAGCAGAGGTGAGGCAGAAACATGCAGCAGAAGGAAAGTGGCAACACGGATGCACACAAGCATGTCAGTGCACTGAAGTGAACAGTTACACCTGAATTTTGTCATCTTGGTTTAGAGGGGTTCGTACTGTGGAGCTATTACCCCATAATACACTTGAGACAAGACACTTCACAAGTGGCACTGCCACACATAACCTCTGCCTACAGGTAACCTGGATGGCAGACACAGGCACAGCTGGCCTTAAAATACTGAACTGTGACAACACACATACACACACACACACACGCAGTATGACTTGCAAACTACCGTGCCCATTTTCCATTACTGTGGTTTCAATCAAAATAGCTTCTTTTCCATCAAAGCTGTTGCTGCTGTCAAATTCCACCTGTATCGTAAGAAATCTTGGAACAAAATGGTACTGGTTTTTATCACTGGCTATGTGCGTGGTGTCTTGATGCTCCTGGGAGTTACCTGGCTTCATATAAGAAGGAATAGGTAAGTTAGGTGTCATAAAAAGAGAGATACAACTTATTCCTTAAAAGCACCACTGCATTCTCAAGGAAAGTGCATTTGTCAGTGAGGTACCTAGTACAAAAGCACGGAGTTACTGTCAAGAGTCTTGGGTATGGCTCCATCACTAATGTTTGGTGTTTTTAGGGACAAAAAGGATTTCCCCATCTTGTTTTATCACCTGTCACAATATCTGCAGGTATTTTGGAGGAGTTTAATGATGCTCTGTTACATCAGAAAACATACACTTGACCTTAACCAAAAGGCCAAGAAGCAATACATCAGCAAACATGAAAGAACTTTGACCAACTAAGATGTTATTCTAATGTGATGAACAAGGATCATGTCTGAAGAAAATCAGGTGTGGGTTTGGATTCTAGGAGCTCCCGGCACTTAGGAGTCCCCACTACTTCAGATGCCATCTCAAAAGTTAGATTTAAGTAAGTGATTCCTGCAAAGTACTTTGAACAACTCACAGAAAGTCATTCGAAGCACAAGTTATTTTTATAGAAGATATTACCAGGAGCAAGACAGTAGTTACTACAATTACTATTCAGTGAAGAATCTCCTTAAATGCACGTGCTAGGTGTGCTTGGTGAACCAAAGTATTTTTGTGACTCGTAAAGGTTTAAGCTAATAACACCTTATAGTTATTGAAACTAATTTGACGACTATAATATAGTGAGATAGATAGGTTCATGACTATAAATGAACCCAGCACAGTATGCAGAAAAATTGAAGCTCCTACTATTATGCAGATGTGGCCGCCTAGAGCTAACTCCAACCCCTTCCTGATACCTTCCCTGTTTGTTCTGGGTAATAGAATTTCAGACTGTCACAGATTTGCTAAGAGGTTTCCTCATCTGTAAAACGAGGGCAATGGAGGAAACTCCTGTGGCTCCTTCCAGCTGTATGAGTACACAATAGTTTCTGTATATTATGCAAAATAACAGTGGTGTTTTATCCAACTGACAGAACTTCCGGCAACTCCTCTTATCTCTCTGCTTCAGCTACCTTGATTGCAGCAGTTATCTTTAATATGATTCATCCATCCAGTGTCTCTAAGTTGTTTTAGTTCAAACCTCTTCCTACTCTGCTTGACCAAATGCCATTCATTATAGGATGCCACTAAGGCACAAAAGCTAAATCACAGATGAAAGGTGAAAGAAAGAGTACTTCTGGAGTCACAAGGAGGGTGACCCCGTGTCAGGGAATTACAGGTTCCAACACATCAACTTTAAAAGAATACGTCAACTGTCAGGGTTGAACATGACAGAAACATGGTGTTCAGAGGACCAAAATGTACTCAAAGCATGAAACACTGGAGCTGAGAAACTAAACCAATTCTTTTGCCAAAGGTATCTGTTGTTTAGAGTATGAGGTGTTTGTCATTTGCCTAGAGCTTCCGTATTACATGCTGTATTCCTTTCCAGAGGAATAGAACCAATGCCAATCGATAAAAGCACAATTGACTAAATTATGAAACATTTGAATCAACATAAGAATGGTTGGATCAATTATGTAACCAAATCACATTATGTAGCCATTAAAAAGACAGATACATTGGGCGGGGACATAGTTTAGTAGCAGAGCACTTCTCTAGCATATGCAAGGCCCTGGTGATCCAATCTCCAGCATCAAGAAAACAAACAGACAGACAGAGAGATAGACATACATGTCAAACATTTTGACCAAGGACAGAAAATTTCAGCTAGACAAGACGGACACATTCAAGAGATCCTCTGTACACCACGGAGACAATAGGTCATGATGTTATGAAACATGTACATATTGTACTTACAAATCGAAAATGATTAGATAGTAAGCATTTTCCCTAAAAAATATGCAAGATAATACATATGTTAATTAGCTTGATTTAGTCATTCTATTAAGTATTTAAGTACCAAAGCATTGTGTTGCACACATAAATATTTACAATTTTTACACATCAATTTAAAAAAAAAGAACTTTTAAAAAGTTTTTAGGAGCTACATATGAATTAACCTGGTTGATTGTCCCTGGTATATGGTTAAGTTAAAAAAAAGAAAAAGGGGCTGGGGATTTAAGCGCCTGCCTGGCAAGTGCAAGGTCGTGAGTTCGGTTCCTGGTACCGGAGAAAAACCAAAAAAAAAAAAAACAATGCTTTCTTTAAAAGGAAAAATGTTTAAGGAATCCTGAGAAGGAATAAGAAAGAGGTGAATATATTAAATGTAACCTGGGTCTGCACCTAATTATCTTTAGGTCTGAACCTGATTTACATTCACACTGAAGCATCCTTCAGCGGAAACTGTACCCCATGACATGTGCAGAAGTACAGCTAAGCAGCTCTGAGCACAGCGTGACCTCAGACAGGTCCAGGTTTATATCACACCTCAGCGACTCTGCCCGTGACCCTGGGCAACGTATCCATCTCTAACCCCCAGTTTCCCTGACTACCAAATACTGATAATTATGCCGTATCGCACCAGAGACATTGTCCAGATCGAACAAAATAGTGTAAAGAAAGTGCTGAGCACAGTGCCAGCACACAGCAAGTGCTCAATAAGTGGTGGCTATTGCTTTAACTATTACCTAATTGCCTTAGAGATCAGCCTTTACTAAAAACAGAAACCCTTCTGCAGTGTGACATTTAAAAGGCCACCACCACAAAGAATATGCTCTGGCTTCCAGGAAGGTACTTGTGAAAGTGTGGGCTGATGAATAAATGACATTTGATTTTCTATTCCAACATCCTTCCCTTTCAATGTTTTCTGATGAGGCAGCCACATGGTGTTCTCAACCCATCCAGCTTCCCTCCCACATTATTCCAAATGTGAAGCACGGTCCCCAAAGCTTCCTGCTTGTCCCATCACGGATCACCCACAGGTGGCTGCGGCCTTGAGGCACACGAGGTAATTAGCTTGAGGGACACAGCCCAGTTATTCTAACTTAGTGAGAGAATAAACATAAAAAGAAACAAAAAGAGAGCAAGAGTGAGGGAAAGAAGATGGGGACCAGTGGCTGCACACCCTCTGAGGCGCTATCTCTGGTTCTAGACGGACTACCTAAGGAAGAAGATCATTTCACATTTGGGAAGGGATTCCCAGATTTTGAGACAACCCTAGCTGCTGTGGAAACCAAAGTAGACAAATACAAACTCATTAAGAGAGAAAACACTACTGCCCCAAATTCACTTAAATTCAACTCTCAGTATATGTACTCAGCACTAGCCTCTCATAGACAGAGGTATTATTTTCAATACCACTTAGGTCACCGCATCCATTTCCCTTGCAGTTTTCCTCCCACTGATTACAAAGTGCTGGTGCTTTTAAAGCAGTTAAGAGGAGGCATTGGTATTAAATGATGGGCTTACCCAAGAAGCTTAATTTTTATTAGAAGATGACGATGCTGGTGGTAGTGATGGTAACAGCGAACATTTGTGAAGCACTGACCAGGCACCAGGAATTATGCTAAGTATTTCACCCAGCAATGCATGTGGTACTGTCACATGAAACAGGGACACAGAGGGGTCAAGTAACCCTCGCCAGTCTGTGATGGAGTCAGGATTGATATTCAGGCACTCTCTCCTCAGTCCCATACTCCTACTGCTATAATATCACCCATTTAGCTCTCAAAAGCCTTTATCCCTACCAAGTGCATCAAGCGCTGGTTTCTTCTGTCATCAGACATTTCCATCACTGCAGCTGCCTTTGATTTCATTGTAGGCACGTGGCAAAACCTCGAGGATTTCATTCTCATGCTTCTCACCCGCATGTTTACTTTTTTCATCTCCTGAAAGAAATCATGGCCATTTCAGCTGTGTGTCATAATCCTATACTCTTTTAGAATACGCACTCATCTTTTATTTTCCTGAATGAGGTTTGGTTTATAGCACATAAGATAGGAAAACAGGATTGAAAAGGCAGGGAGAACATAAATCTTCTCCTAGAAACAAGACACTCACCACATCTGAAAGAGTTTAGAGTTCTTGATGCCCTTACTTTACAAGACAAATCTGAAGGAAGTAAAGTTTGAGGGTCACAAGCATATACAAGAAGACTTGCTGGGTTTTCTGCATCTGCTGTGTAGCCCGGTGATTTCAATGACCTCAATTACGTGATGTATTCTTTATTATACAGAGTCCGAGTCCTTCATCTGAGCTCATTGCATTTTCCTTTTTCCCAGGCCCTTCTTCCTAGCTAAAGTGCAGACCCCTTGAGGAATGAATCCACATCGCACGTGTGAGACCAGACTTCCCCCAGCACCTTGTCTATACTAAGGGACTCAAATAAAGTTTAATTAAGTCAGAGATCATTTACATTTCAAGCATACTCCAAGCCTCTGAAAAAGTCAACAATCTAGGATACACTGCCTTCAATATTGCTTCATCCCAGGGGAGCTTTCAAGTGACAGTAAAATTGATTTCATTCCCCAGCCAAACCTGAAGCCCTGATGGCTCTGGAAGAAGCAGGTAGATTTAAATTCATCCATGACAAAAATTCCCATTTCTTTTAAGAGCTGAGGAAACAAGACCTGGAGAAGCAGTATTTGATAAGAATGTCTGGTCTTATAATTTAAAGATTAGGCAATTCTGTAAAAAGGCTATTTATGTTCTTCCTGCCTTTTATACACTGAAATGTGCCATTCCTAGAGAGTTCTTAATAGTTGTCAAATGAACATCTTCTTCCAAAAAACTAAACTTAACACCTTCTCTTCCAATTGAATTTCCCTATAAAAGCTGGAGATTAGTTTATGATGAAAACACTTTGGATTGCATGTGAAGTGCTTAAATTAAGAAGCAACACTATGTGGAGAAAATACCAGTTATCCCACACTACTTAAACATGCAAGGCCATTACCATATGCTTATGGCTTTTATGTGGGACACAAAAGCTTAATTAAAAGTCACAGCAACTTTCAGGTTCATATGAGGCAAAGGAGCCAGGAGACAGCAGGAACTGGGTCAGAGAAGGCCAACAGGGCAGGGCTGCTAGCCAGAGTAGCTCTGCACTCTCTCGTCTGCTTTATGAAGCAAGTTTCTGCATAATATTCCACTTGGTGAAAGGAAAAGCTACTGAGAGTATCAGGACACTGAACAAAATAAAATAACATCATTAGACTTCTATCACACTCTTTTCTTTCCCTAATACCATTCAGCAGAGTAATTCTCACTCTTCCTGGGTTTGTATGAGCTGTGAATCTCAGCTCATTTTTGAAGCTATGAGCTCTCATTAATGAGCAGTGGGTCTAGGCCCAAAAGACAGAGACTGGGCAAGAAGCATCCAAAGTGCGACAATGAAAGAATAAATGGTAGAGAGATTACTGGAATACACCATAATAAGCGGAGTTCCTGTCACTGAGGAGCACAAGTAAAGCTACTTGAAAATTCTTTTAAATAAATCAATTCTGCCCAAACCAGTCCTTTTTGAACTTGATTATACCCTAGAATTGGCCATGATGCTTGTTAAAAACATAAATGCTTGGATTTGACTCTAGAGTTACTGGATCAGAATGCTGAGGGAGAGGGCATAGGAAGGTATCCAAAAACCATATATATATCACAAGTCCCTACAGATTAATTCAATGCACACTCAGCTTTGGGATAGCACTATTATAAGCAACAGCCATGCCATGATGCAAATTCCTGGCAAGATAATTCCCATGTAATGAATTTCTTTAAATTAAGAAATACCAAGGCATTTTGATTGGTGATAATAAAACCATATTCATGTACTACATGTCTTAAAGCACCTTTTGACATCCAAGAAAATGAACTGTCATCTTTTTAAAATCTAGGGATTAAACTATATGTCCTGAAATCTTTATAAATATGATATTATGATGCAATACCTCCTTGCAATAGTTCTATACTTGCAACAGATAAGAAAATACCCTGGCTAAGTCATAATAACTAGCTGCTTTCTGACAACTGTCAAATTTTCTCAGAGCTGAGATTTGGAGATTCATCAAAATCAACTGCCAGGCAGACATCTGGCTTTATAAGTTTCTTTAGAAATATAATCAGCAGGCCTGAATATGGACAAGATATTCAAAGGACTGTGAATGCCTCAGATTGCACTGATTTTAACTTTTGTGACAGGGATATTTTTTTCCACTCCCGCGAAAACACTGTTCCGTGCATCCTGTTTATAATTTATACAGCCCTTGCTTTCTCAAGTCTCCTGGAGATGTTTTTTTAATTCCAAGTAATTTTATGTGCTCAGAACTTTAAGTATCCCAGACACACCAATTTCTTGGTGATACCTGCTGCCATCCCACAAACTCATAGGAAACATCAAAAGAAAAGTACAAATCTTACTTTAAAAGAAACGAAAACAAAAACTTCTACACTAAACATGTCTACTCATCCTCCAAATTTCCTTTTTTGAAATTGACTTGAATTTTGTATTTGATTGATGCAATTTAAACTCACGGAAGCAGTAGGACACCACTTTATCATACACCTACCTGTTGGAAAGCCACTTGTTCCGGTAATTTGCTTTTATTTCCATTACTATTCTTTGCACTCATAATGAGGTCCCTTGCTGTCTCTGTGTTTTGGTACCTTTTTTGTTATGATCAAGGAATGTTCCACATACCTGGTCTTTTACACGAGGATTGTCTTCTAAAATTACTACAATTTTGAAAAGTGCCCAGATTTGCAATCTATGTAACAATGGCTCTTCCAACACAGTGGAAAGGAGGGGAGGGAAGGCCATTACCTTCTTTCTCTTCTTTGTTAAATTACAAAGGTAATTTAATACATGGTATAACAAGTCAAACAGGACAAATATACACAGAGTAGAAATATATTTTTAAACTAGTTTAAAGTACCTCATTTTTATTGTTAAAGCATTACATAGTTTCATTTTTGCTCAGCTTGACAGGTTCCTCCTTTATAGCTTTACCTAAGTGTACTTTAATGTGTGTGGCCATCGGCCACATTTTAAAAAATTCTTTAATTTTTACTATTGCCTGATATCACAATATTTTGTTTTCCCACTTCCATTACAGAAATTCTCACAGTCAAAAGTATGTTTGAGCTTTATGATAGCTTCTTTATTATTTCTTGCCCTTTATGTTGCCTTTTGCTTTTGTTCTTTTTTTCTTTTATTCTTTTAGTTTCTAATTATTCTCCTGGTATTAAAATTCTTTCTTGCCCTACCTAGAAAAAAAAAATTAAATCTACAGCTTTAAGGTAAAAACATAACTTTAAACCAGGGATTCATACACTTAGTATCACTCTAGGACCGGGTGAGCAGAAACAGAAAAGAAGACATTAAGAAGGGAGAGAGACTGTAGCAGACTGTATTTGAAGCCCTCTTAGATGCACTGAAATTTAAATTTGGACCAACTGAACAAAATACCCATACTGGCCAAATTTAGCCTTGTGGGGCCAGTCTACAACCTTTGCAAGATTTTATTCCCACTCTCATTTTATCCGTCTTGGCAAACAAGGGTTTCAGCTGAATCTTTTTTTATGCGCTCAGTGAAAAAGTACTATAGCACAGATAACATAAAAGAGAAAATAATGTAAATTTTACATGCAGATGACCTCAGTGTACACTGCTTTTTCTACGAAATGTATTGTTTAACTATAACTTCACACTGACCCTGTATTCAGAATGCGTTGCATTCCTCATCAGCACATGAGTGTGTGGATTATGGGGGCAGAGTGATGACATTAACACAAGGAGTAGGCAGCATCTGTTCCATAAATTCATGGGAAACCATTGTCTTGGACCAAATTCTTACACTAGACCCCAGCAGATCAGACCTCACCGGAATGGAGTCACTCATGGTAGCTGTCACACAATGACACAGAAAGAGGTCAGCTTTTCAAAAAATCTGATTCACAGCAGCCAGTCAGAAGGGGCCTCTCCCACCTGAGCCACAGTGACAGTGACCCCTACACAGAAAAGCAGTCTGCAGTAACATGAGGCTACCCACTCCTGTTTTTGTACTGTGCTATTTCCTTGTTCTTGCTCAAACTACCTTCAGAAGCCCAGAGGAGCACCTTTTCATTTCATAGAGAGGGTGCTGCTGGATTCACGAACCTCTAATAAAAGCCAACTATATCTTTAAACTTGATGTGTTGAAATGTTGCTTCTGACACCTTATAGGGCAAAGTCAGCTTAACGTAAAATTCAGGACAGTTTTAGGTCGGCAATTCATAGACAGGGAGTGGTGATAACTAGATTCCTAAGGTCTCTAGGATGGCCTTGAATTTAGCCTTTGCAGAAGGCTGAACCTGGTAAAATAAAAGCCAGCTATTTTCTCTCCCCTGCCATTTTGCCATTGTCAAGAGGGGATGATTTTCCACAAAAATAGCCTTTGAAATTTCACCCAGCATAAATTCTGCCCACTGCTTACCAAAATGGAAACAACACAAGAAGATAATTACCATTTTCTCCTATCACAAAAGAGACTTCCAACCGACTGAACAGAGGAGAAAAATCAGAAACAGGGCATGAGAGACTTTGCAATCCTGATGGAGGGTGAGTCACTAATTCCATGGCAGGTTCTTTCACTGCAGCTGTACACACCATCATCGGTTTTAACACTCATTTTCATCTTCATGCATTAGAGCACTATTCTCTGATCCACTTAGGTCTAGAAACAGCAAGTGTCCTAAGAACACAGGAAAATCGCATGCTCGGTGGTATATATTTAGCATCTCTATAGCATTTTATGGCTTCAAGATATTGTGGGAGCATTTTCATGATTCCAACCATCTGCAATAGCAGAGAAACAGTCATTTGCTAAGGTCATAGAGAAAATTATTGGAATGA